ATACACTCATGTTGCTTCAAAGTGAACAATAGTAAAACATTCGCCGATGCGCAGGAGAGTAGCCAGGCCATGGAGTAGTCCCATCAAATACAAGCAAGTCCTCTCTGGATCCCAGCTCTTCATTTGTTCCTGTCCTGGAAGTATCACCCCATGAAGCTCAATGTTACAATGTTTTGTTGTGGAAGTGAAGACATTTGTGTTCTCCCTGCAGGCTGGTAGATTCAATCAAGATAAGTAGCTTCCATGTACAGATCAATATTATATAAGTGGGACTTTAAGACTTAACTCTAGTCTACTGCAGTTCTAATGTCTTTAACACTCGATATAGGCTGAGACCTCCGAGACAGACAAAATAAATGTTAAATATATACAGTTAACACTCTCTTTATTATATTGTTGTTCTTGAAACAGACTGACCCCATGCATCAATTTTTCAGCAGTAAATGAAAGAATGGAAAGCTGTATTTCATAAAGTTGACATTTGCTTGGTAGAGTTTAACTGTCTGGGAATATATCAAAAAGTTGAGTAATATAATACTTCCAAAAGACCATTTCTGCCAGAAGAAATATCGGTCACAAAAGTTGGGGTGTTTTTTTTGGTTAATTTTGAGAGATTGGAGGGTAATACTATACATAGGTTAGGGGATTGCTGCCAGAGCTTGTTACCATCAGAGATCACATCATGTTATGTTGCATGAGAGAATATACTGACATCATTCACAATATAAGATTCTAGCTTTCATATTTAACAAAGAGTTATGATGACTGGGAAAACAGGAGGGTCCTACACTCACTTCATTGTGGTCCGGTTTTTGCCATTGTGGAGATTTGGACAGACTAATCTCTCAACTTGAATACACATTTCCAAGTCTAATGTGACGTCTGAACGGCTTTACGGTGAATCTGTCCTCTCAATACTGGCAAGTGGAATAATTAAGGGTCATGACATAGGGAAAATACATTGGATATTTCATACATATTGATGTGTGGCCAGTTTTGACAGTTTATAGTTTTTTTCTCGGAAACAGAGTTATGAAAACTATTGATCTCAGTCCATATATCGCAGAGTCAGCAGAAATTCTGGCGCTCTTTGACAGGAAAATATTACCAATTTGTCTTGGGACATCTTAATTTTCAGCCAGTAATATTTCATACAAGTTTTAATCAAAGATATGCGCTATAAGCAGTTCTGCTTGTTATAGAATCATATAAATATTGGAGAGAATTCAAATTTCAATGCCAATAGAATTTAATATCCTAATTCTAGAGGTATTCAAAGTTTGGAAGGAAAGAAATTGTGTTTTATGTATAGACAGTTAAAGATTCTCATCTGACGGTATACTATTTGTTCAAATTTGTACAGGGGAAATGCTAGTGACAAACACTCTATGCAAACAAAACAACTCTAAAATATAGTTCTTAATATTTATTATGTAATAAGTAATCATTTTTCCAAACAATGTCAAGATTATTATCTCCCTTTTTTATTGACTTTTCATTCTAAAACCTCCCAAAATCTATATGTTGATAAAGGAAGTAAATATTTTGTCAATTCTTTGTTTGATGACTATTCCACTTAACGAAGACATGTTTTGTTTGATTAAAATATTCAGTTTGTGTTTGATTAAAAAATTCAGTGTTTGGTAGGTCATAAATTACATTTGACAACATAAAAGTGACTTAGTTTTTCGTCTCTTTGATTACTGTCAGTAGAAATAGAGATTCTGTCTTTTCTTTAATACTATAATATAGTTCATATTATGATATATATCTTTTAAAATACAACATAGATAGCTTAAATACCAGCAAGATTGCATTATTTACCAGCAAGATTGCATTATTTACCAGCAAGATTGCATTATTTACCAGCAAGGTTGCATAAATACCAGCAAAAGTGGTGTTGTGGCCAAGTGGTTATGGCATTGGACTTCAGCCACATGGGTTCAAACCCTGTCAGGGGCGAGCTGTTTTTTCATTGAGCAAGAAACTTCACACTCATTGCTCAGTACTGGTTTGTCCCGGGAATGGATTTGAGAGTGTTTCTATAAGCTTATAGCTTCTTTCATAATCAGACTAAAATAAATTATGTTTGGGTTAATGCAGAAGCTACTTGCTGTTATATACAAGGATGAAAAATGTGTTCTGCGTGAGATGAACCTTGAGGAAATAGTAAATCATTGTAAGAAATGAGAAATGTTCAACAACAGGAGATAGAACAACTTGTTGGAATCGTGTAAAACACAAGTGATATATAATTATATTCTTATTGGCTGTAAACAATGGGATTATATTGCCTCTTCATTATGAAGAGCAGATTGGGAGAAATAAATGTTTTCTTAATGATCTCTTTCTAGCAGATAATGTTTTACAATTTTCCAAGAAAAACATATCAGCTAATTACATAATGTATCCATTTGCCTATCTCTGCTAGTTTTCAAGAAACATCGTATTCTCTCTTGTGTTGGTATATTAAGGTTCTTCCATTATAATTGCTTGGTTTTCATAGAAATTTCCTCTTTGATATCTTGGCAGCATTTTTCAATTAATTGAAATTGTTAGAAATTTCACTTTAGTCTACTGACAAGGGAAGTTGCATGTATATTCCCAGTTCAAATACAAAACTTAATGTGTCTTACAGTTTAAAATGTTAGCTGTTAGTTTAATGTAAAATGCAAGAATTCGGGTTAGTAGGTTTTATTTAACTATGTTGACATTATCATCATTATATACCAAAATAATTTAATATCATTCTATATCATTATGATCATCATGATGTACATTTTAGGTATGATTGAATATAGAAAACTTTTCAAATTTTCTATAATGTATCCCACCTTATTTAACTCCCTGAAACCTTAGTCTAATAGAATAGCAATAGCAATAAAAGACTCCATAGTTTGCATTATACACTGATGGCCCCAAACTGTTTTCTGTTTTCAGTCTAATTAGAGAATTATGTATGTCTTGATATTAGCAAGTTTAAAGTACAGGACAATTGAATGACTTATATATATATGAAGATGACGAGAGCAGACTATGTCAGCGGGAAATGTTTTAGGTGTGAAACTGTTATTGATGTGTAAGCATTCTGCAGTATTGGTCAAGTGTCTGCACACTCTGATACATTATTTAGAGTAGGTGTCATAACCATTTGGTCAAATGTTACCGCAGCGGCTGCAATCAATATTATAGACAAATGATGTAGACTTCACTTATAGACCTATCTATAGCTAGCAATATATTAGGTCCAGTTAGCTGTCCTACTGTATATGGTCAATTAGTGGAGTTGAGAGTTTGGACTAATGTTGAGTAATGGCGTATTGTGAAATGTCTTGTCCTGATGGGACATACTTTATCACAATAACTATGATCTTTCTGGCAAACTTTCAAATGAATCAAAACTTATTATTGAATCATAATATAGGTGATCTTGAATCATCCTGGCTGAATCTGGCAGATGTATTATAGTACCAGTATTTGTATTTATATTTAAAATCAATCTTACTATTTAGTTTCTACCCGCCATCCATGGTGGAAACAGTCTGTCCACTTTTGATGTTGGAGAAAAACATACTGAATTAAAATTGAATTGTATTGTTGTATCTTACAGGAAACTAGACGTCTCTGTTTAAAATTATTTTGTGTTGTTACCTATTGAGAAATTCTGAGACATTTTCACTCACATACAACTCTTCTTGTTTGTCTATTCAGTTTCTTCAATACCAAATATTCCATGTTTATGGTTGCTAACTATTAATTATAGCTGTTTACCGGAAGGGTATAGCCTAATAAAGGGTCACAGTTAAATTTTAGCAAATAAACATGGTATTGTACGAAATGTTATTCAAAAATTAAACTCTAATTGAAGTAAAAGGCAGGTTTCTATTATGTAAATATCCCCTTCAACTTCGCAAACATGACCTTGGACAATTTTCCCTTTGTAAGCTTGTTTCCTTTATATTTGGATGGCTGTTTTTTTTTGCCTCTTGAACTAATGAAAAACTGTAACAAAAAACATGTGAAGTGTAGTTTTCCTGATCATCACATCTGTGTGTGAGCCGCAGTTAACTGTTGGTGCAGAAATCACTTGTGAAACAAATATTACCTTGTTAAATGTTGAGTAGATACTTCAAAATACAGCAAGTAAAGTGTGTGCGAATTATGTTTTTTAATCACATTATAATTGTTGCAAATTGTAGAACATTATCTTGAAAGAGAACCCGTTATGCTTTGTTTTTTTTTCCCCATTTATTTGTAGTTTGATAAAGCAAAGATTATTTGGGTAGTGTCTGGGTAATACTTAGTTTTGCATGCATTTTGCATTGGTCTGTTTGAAGATAAAATTTGAGCTATTGATAAGTACTATAAACGCAGCATTGTTGTGGTCTTCGTTGTGCAAAAACTTTAATGTAGCCCATTATTCAAACATTTTAAAGGGTACTAACACAAAACTTGGATTATTTACTTATCGTAACAAGCTGTAAGACAAGGGGCATTATCCTGAAAGCAATATCTTTAGGAGTTACGTCCCTTCTTACTCTACATATCATAATTTTTCATGAAACTTCACTTATTCAGGATCATATATTGTTGGTCACTATCCAAAACCATTATTCTCTGTTGGACTTTAAATGAATAATGAAATATTTCACTTTCTATACAAGAATGTATTCATTTAAGAAATTTTTTTGGATAATATTTGTAGAGCATAGATTTTTACTGAGTTATCACCCTTTTTAACTTCCTTTTGAAGTTTCTGTCATCACAATAACACATCACAATGAAGGAATTTGTTTGAATCTTTTATACACATCTTCATTATCATGAAATAAAGTCTATGACAAAGACCAGTAACTGTAGCCTGTAATTTTAAAATTACTTCCCTTTGTGAATCTAGAAAATTTTGCTTTGCCCATGTTTGCTATGGAATTCAGTTGTTTTCATTCATATACTGTGCTTAATAATTATGTTTTAACTGTTGTGTATTTGATATATTTCAGATTTTTGGTGATTACTATACACTTCGACACTCCAGAGTTTCTAAAAGGTCCAAATATCCCAGTAAATTCTACCATAATACTCTCAGACAAGATGGCAAGGTAAGATGGCAGATCATTTATTAAATTTTCTTTACTTTTAATTTACTAAAATTTAAAGCAAAAATATCAGATTTTATTTTTTGGGAAATAACCAATATAGTGAACACGAAAGTTTCTTTTTACACGAATTTAAATTTAGAATGTCAATAACTTTATAATTGAAGTTTTAGCCATAAGTTTGGCCAACACAGTGTTTTTCAGTGGAATGTGTGAATAATATTTATTCTTAATTATAACTTTATAAGTGCGAAATTTCAGGATAGATATTGTTGTTGTTCTTACTTACTTCTTAGTTAAATGTCAGTTATATTTTAGAGAGTGAATGTGTACTGGATATTTCACTTGCACATGATCATGATGATACGCATATTTTACTTTAGAAAGTATATTCTTATTAAGAGAGTTGCATGTGAAGTGCATTTTAAAGTTAGGAAAAATTGTACTTTAAACTGTCAAATGAGAGATGAATAAACATTCTCTCCAGATTTTACAAGAATGGATGTTGCCATGTTAATTTGTAAGGAGTGATGTAGTTTTCTTTTCATATGTCATACTAACAAAACAAGGCTGTCTGATTGGTCTGTATGTAACAGTGTAACTCAATTTTCTGGCTGTGGAATTCGGTGCCATATAAGGTCTTGTTTACTCGAGCCATCAAAATTTACTACAGAGCTAAATTGATTATTGATTTGGAATGTTTGTGCATGAAACTATCAGGGGGAAAAAGCAGTAACAGAAAAATTCTTTCCTCCATGGATCTAGACACAAGTTTCTGTAGTAGCGTCTTTTGTGTAACATTATAAAATCTCGAGGAAATGTCTTACACTGACGACCTTTAAATTTACAAAATGATAAAAAAACATAATTTGTTTTAATACAGAAAACGGAATGATTGCATTGGTATTGCATTAATATGATCAAGTCTGATTAGGAGCATAAGCTTATATGCCTCTAATGATCATTAATGAATGATGTTGTTTGACAAAAAAAGCTACAAATATTCTGCTACATGAAGAAAATATTCAGCCATCCGGTTAAGATGTTAAGAAAGAACGGCACTCAGTATGCAATTGTTCAATCTGAAATCTGAATTATAATTTAAATAAAGAATGTTAATTTAAAGAAAGAATGTTGATACAGTCATAATGTTAGAAGTTTAACCGTCAAATAATAATTACAATTCTACCTTTGTAATATTCATGCAAGTCAGTCAAACCAGAGTCTAGCAGGCAAACTGAGCATCACCAAGTTTTACAGAGAGATCAATGGGTTTAAGCTGTTGCAAGACCTCAGTTACTGGTTTTCAATGTAATTTGATGATTGTCTGAGTGCTGTATAGGCATGGAATAAGAAAAAAACAGTTTTAAGCCAGACCTGTATGCACATCCATGAAATCTGACTTAAGTCTGTGTACTGTTTGTTCTTTAATTTAGTTAATTTAGTTATTTTTGTACTAAAAATGTGTTCAAATAACATTTTGACACTCGAAAACTTACAGAAGACAAAACTTTCCATGGTTAATGTGGCCTGTGATTGAGAACAGTCAGTGGGAGTATTAAGCAATGGTATACATATCCTAATTGATATATGATATATGATAAAACATTATTTGCCAAGTGGTCAAGGTCAATTGGCCCTGTCACCCACCACGGTAGGTTTGAATCCTGCTGGGGACTTTATACTCTTTAGCTTTCCTACTATAGCTAAATTAAGGGTGATGGTTTTACTAGGGTGCTTGCCAGACTGTCTGAAAATATGCATGGACGGGAACCTAAGATCTTCCTTTGCCAAGACAGCTAGAGTTTGCCATAATATGACCTTAACACCTAAAAGAAATACAGCTGGAGCCTCCGCCGCCCTCAAAAAAGCTTTGACTTTGCAAAAAGAATTAAATGGAAGATATTTAAGACTTTTAATACTAAGAGAGCTTTTATTTTATAGCGACAGCTTGCTTAAGTCAGATGGTCTCCTTTAATTTGTAACAACATTCTGGTTATCTCTGCAGAACTTTTAAATTAAACACAGACTTAATAATTAGACAGTTCACAAGACACATATCCCCAGGGAAGCTGATCACCTCCTAAAGTCAGTCAATGCCTTTTACGATAGTGCTGTGTTGTTTTTCGATGCATAAATAAGTTAGACTTTAACAGGTGCAAGTATTTAGTTTCAATCAATGATGAAGAGTTTAACATAATAGTGTGTCTGATAATACAAGGTAGCTTGTTAACTTTATTTGACAGTAAGTACCGCTAGCCACAAGATGGTTTCTTTTACTGAAATTCAGCTCAAATTTTGTTTTTTTTGTTTCCTTGGTGGGAATGCAAATTGAACGTGAGATGTTGCTAGGGATAATGGTGTTTAAGAAACTTTCTGTCCCTCACAGATATTGATCATGATCAAATTGGAGGATATCATTGGAGCCAATGTCAAAAAGAAAAGTCTTGAAAACTGATTTTAGCTTTGCAATTTGTTTGTTTTAGATGTGCGCTTTTTTTTTCGCCACTGAGAAAAAAATAGAACTGTCATAGGCTTGGTGTGACAGTACATGTTATCTTTGTGTTTTTCAGACAATTTTGTTTTCTAAATAGAACTGATTTGCATTTTGAAACTGTCTTTATAGAAATATGTTAAATAATTGTTTGTATATTTTATATTTTAATACACAGGGTACCATAGGGCACTGTTAAGAGATGCTCCACTGTAAACTGTTAAGAAATGCACTAGGGTAAACTGTAATGGTATGCTCTGGGGTAAACTGTAATGGTATGCTCTGGGGTAAACTGTAATGGTATGCTCCTGGGTAAACTGTTCAGATAAGCTCCAGGATAAACTGTTCAGATAAGCTCCAGGATAAACTGTTCAGATAAGCTCTAGGGTAAACTGTTCAGATATGCTCCAGGGTAAACTGTTCAGATAAGCTCTAGGGTAAACTGTTCAGATAAGCTCTAGGATAAACTGTTCAGATAAGCTCTAGGGTAAACTGTTCAGATAAGCTCTAGGGTAAACTGTTCAGATAAGCTCTAGGATAAACTGTTTAGATAAGCTCTAGGATAAACTGTTAAGATAATCTTCTGGATAAACTGTTAAGATAAGCTCTGGGATAAAATGTTCAGATAAGCTCTATGATAAACTGTTCAGATAAGCTCTAGGGTAAACTGTTCAGATAAGCTCTAGGATAAACTGATCAGATAAGCTCCAGGATAAACTGTTCAGAAAAGCCCCAGGGTAAAATGTTCAGATAAGCTCCAGGATAAACTGTTCAGATAAGCTCTAGGGTAAACTGTTCAGATAAGCTCCAGGGTAAACTGTTCAGATAAGCTCCAGGATAAACTGTTCAGATAAGCTCTAGGATAAACTGTTTAGATAAGCTCTAGGATAAACTGTTTAGATAAGCTCTAGGATAAACTGTTAAGATAATCTCCTGGAAAAACTGTTAAGATAATCTCCTGGATAAACTGTTAAGATAAGCTCTAGGATAAACTGTTCAGATAAGCTCTAGGATAAACTAAGATAAGCTCTAGGATAAACTGTTAAGATATGCTCCAGTGTTTTCTTTTGAGGTATGCTCAAGGGTTTTCTGTTAAGATATGCTCCAGGGTAAACTATTAAGATATGCTCCAGCGTAAACTATTAAGATATGCTCCAGGGTTAACTGTTAAGGCATAAACTATTAAGATATGCTCGAGGGTAAACTGTTAAGATATAATCAAGGGTTAACCATTGAGATATGGTCCAGGGTTAACTGTTAAAATATGCTCCAGAGTTTTTCTGTGAAGAGCTGCTCATGGGAAAACTCCTAAGACATGTCAAAATGTAAACTGTTAAGATTTGCTCTAGATGGTAAAACTGGTAAGTTAAACTTTAGGGTGAACTGTTAAGACATGCTCAAGGGAAAATCTGTAATTGATATAATTAGATAATAAATGTATGATAGTTCTAGGAGAACAATACAAAAAACAACAACAGACAATAACAGAAGTTGGACACTTTGAGGGTAATATTTTAGTTATGAAATGAGCATACCTAGCTCTGTATAAATATGATGTTTTTATGACAGTAACTGTGAAGCCTGTAGAGTCAAGTTCATTTGCCATGTGAGAATAGCTATAGGGAGCAGGTTATGTAGGAAATAATTACTTGTTAGCTTTTTGCTATATAGAAAATCTGAAATGCTTAAAAGTTTACGCGTATTGAGTATTTTCATAACATTTTATTTAACAAAAAAAAATGGGTTAATAGTTTAAGATGACATCTTGTGTTTTAGTAGATGGTACTTTGTGCATGGGGTGAGGAATAGTGGCTCGAAGTTGTCATCAGGCCTGTTATAAAATTATGAGCTTTTGTGTCTAAAAAGATTTATCACACAAAATGTACCAGGCCTTTTTTGCTACTCCGTAAAAAAAAGGAATTGCAAGCCCATGTATATATAGATGTTAAATTTTGATGTGACATCATTTGCGTTATTCAAACATTGTGTAAAGACACTTTAAATGTTAGTGCTATACTATAGGAGCGTCAATGAAAAATGATTCTTTTTCACTTTATTTTGGGTATGTGTTACATAGAATATTATATTTGGTAGGTTCATTACTTAATTTATTGAACTCGTTGAATGAAATAATAACATGCTCGCCAGAGGCTCGCATAATATAATTTTATTCAACTTGTTCATTTAATTCTGTATTGAACCTAAGTTACTCTCATCTCTTTAAGATTTCTTGTTATAATGAAGAAAATTTCCATTTTATAAAAGAAAATAATGACGGTGAAGTGCAAGATAATTTATATATAAATATGTTCTGTTTCTTTTTTTGTTGGTACTGAAAATTTAAGAAATATTTTTTTCAACAATTAATATTCAGATATAGAATATTGTTGTAGATATGTAAATATTATACTGGTAAATATGTATACAGTATATTAGTCAGGCATTTCATGCAAATGATTAGTTTAGAAGCTGCGAAACTAACTATCGAATTTCAGATAGATTATCGCCT